CCCCCCTCGTTTCCCTCACAGTCTCCCTCCCAGCCTCACCTGGCAGCAGGGTGTGGTCATCGCTGGTCCTTCCCTGAGCCTTGCCTCTCCCCCTCCCAGGCTGGCTTGGGTGCCATCATGTCCCCAGTGCACACTGATGCTTGACTGTTGCATTTCCCTGTCTTCTCTGGCACACAGCGTCCTTGCCCAGCGTGTGGCGGCTGGCGTGTGGTGGTCACTCAGTGCGTGCTTGTGGAACGAGCAAATGCCTGAGGTGGCTGTGAGGTCCCTGATGGGAGGCGCTCAGAGGCCCGGTGCCCGCTGGGGGGCTGGAGGACGAGTTGCTGCATTCGAGGGGCTCGACTCAGATCATCTCGCAAAGCCCTCGGGTGCTGGGTGCTGGGTTCTGTTTGCGTGTGCAGTAGTTTTAGATTGTACACGTCAGTGTTACTGTCCTTGACAGTTTGGGTGGAATGGAATCGTGGTTCAGTTAGCGGGGTGGAGCCTACTGTTAATGACGCTTGGAGTTCTGGAAGGTGATAGTTACCGGGAGATACTATTCTTTGTCCGTGATAATACAATTTTCTTTTAATACTTTGTGCCTTGACCATCACTAGTAGACAAAGGGAGGTGTGCTGAGGTCCGTTTGCATGTCGGCATTCCTGTTTGCTCTGTCTGCTGACCTCCCTCTCACCCTGCACTTTGTTGTTTCTTTACGCTCTGACAATAAGCTCTCCAGTGAGGACGCCGTGAAGAGAGTTCTGGCTGGAGAGAGGGGCGACAGGAAAGGGAGGTCGTGGAAACCCCAGGACCTGGATAATAGGAACGCTGAAGAAGAGGTGCCCGGGAGTCATAAGAGCAAAGAGGTGAACGTCAACCTTCCTCTCATCCTTGAGGAGGGAACAGCTTGTCTTCTTGTAGTTCAGGTGAAAACATTTATCAGTGATATTACCATTTTTCTTTTTTTTTTTAGGATAGAAGAAACTCTGAAATAAAAGAGAGAAGTCCAAGCAAAGATCAGAAACAGAAAGAAGAGTTGAGAGAAGAAAGCAAACCACGAGAGAAGGAAAAGGTGAAAACCAGGGAGGATGAGGGCGACAGACGGAAGGATCTCGAGAGGGACAAGCACCGAGAAGGAGAACGAGACAAGAGTAAGAACAGGGCCAAGCAAGAGCGAGCGCAAGACAAGGACCGAGGCAACAAAGACCGGGACAGGGAGGCGGAACGTGAGACGCAGAGGGAGCGTAAGACCCAGGGAGGACGGGAGAAAGAGAGGCTGAAAGAGCGAGACAAGGGCAGAGAGCGAGACAGGGACAGACTGAGAGTGAAGAACGGGGAGCACTCCAGGGACCCCGACAGGGAGAAGAGCAGAGAGCATGAGAAGCTGGAGAAAAAGGTAAAGTCTTCTCTGGAGAACATCTGCCGTTAACTTAGGAAGCGTTCGTGTTGCTTCGCCAAAGCGATTTGTTTTTCTTTTTTCTTTTTTTATATTTTATTGTACTTCAGGTGAAGGCATACAGAACAAATAGTTTCTCATGAAACAGTAGTA